GTTACAAAAAAAAAACAAAAAACAAAAAATTCGATCATGGATTACAAGAAAAAAAAAACAAACATTTTGATCATGGATTACAAAAAATTCGATCATGGATTACAAAAAAACAAAAACAATTCAATCATGGATTACAAAAAAATCGATCAAGTATTACAAAAAAATCTATCATGGATTACAACAAAAAAAAAAAAAATTAGGTACAGGACTCGCCGATTCACTGTTCGGACTCGCTGATTCCGTACAGTGAATCGGCGAGTCACTGTACAGAATCGTCCGGTTCTCTCTAGAACCGGACAATTTCCGATTTTTTAGCTGATACAATCCACTATTTGCGATTTCCGAGTCGCAACTATAATTATTGATAAAATTATTTAATATCAAATCCATAATTATTTAATAAAATTATTCAGTTGTGAGGATAAAATCAATGATCTCTAATACCATGTTTTTATTGATAAGATTTTTCGATGATAAATATATTTCAATGATTAATATCGAATATCGCATGCATATTAGTAATATTTCAAATTTTAGATTTATACTAGAGATAAAAGTAAGTTATTATAACTATCATAAGAATTCCAACCAGTGTTTGAAAATGGAATCGGTTTCGAAAACTAGCCATTATGATCTATCGGTAAACTAGCCTAACCAGACAAGTCTCGGGAGGCCAAATTGTTGTTAAAAAATGCAAATAATCTAAAAAATTATTAAAGTATGATTAAAAAAAACACATCTAAATAAAATTGAAGGTTATTGAACAACATATTTTAAAAAAACCATCTATGCCTAGGGGTATTTTTTAAATTTGTAAAGAGATACGAGAATGTAAAAATAAATATTCATACCAAACACTTTTCAATCTTTGCAAAACAATAAAAAAATATTTAAAAATATATTACAAACAAATCCCTCATTTTTTGATATTTTATATATTTTAAAATTTTTATTAAAATATCTCGCCGGATCACCAAAGCCCACCAAATCAAAACTGGCCACTACCCGTTAACGGTCTATATTGCGAACACCGATTACAACGCTCAAAGTATGTCTCCAAGCAAAATTTAGAGGTGTGCCCTCACGTGCCCCATGAGAACTTCGCCCTTCAATTTTAAAGTTTATACCTTGGCATATACCTCCAGTAAAGTCTTGCCCTCTATACAAAACAAAAAAGTCTCTCTCTACGTTCAAGAAAAACTCTTCTCTCTCTTTAACTTCAAACTTTCGTACGAGAATCTTAACGGACGTTTGACGATAAATAATACATTTATATAAACATAATTCTTACAAAAAAAAACAAAATAAAACCTCATTTCAAATCTTAATCTAAAAAACTCTTTTGACTATAGAAACCTCCAAGATCCATCTAAATCAATTTCCAACCATGATAATAAAATTTAAAACTAAAAAAATGATGCACATTTCGTGGATATATAAACATATAATCTTAAGATGAAATGGACGGTCTAGATGATAATATACAATCTTTTAGAACTTAAAATCTGAATTATTTTTTTTTTCACAACTAGTTCAAGCCGAGAGGATAGTTGTAAATTTTTTTCAATGCTTGAATTACAATTTTTGATGAATTATGAAGCAACGCTTTACTTATATTTTGATAGGGCTGGAGACCTATCAAACCAAAATATTTTTCATTATGAGAACAAGCAAATATCGGGATTAGTTACAGGACGTACGGAGTTTACCAGTTTCCCCTCACTCAGCGTCTCCATACCACTATTCATTATCTGCTTCAATTTTAAGCAAAAAAAAAATCATTGCTGCTCTTTTGCTCTCCAACTGATTGGGTGAGGAAGTAGACCTGGTAGGTTTTCTCCCTCCTCCAAGTTTGAAATCTTTGGAAACCCCTCTCTCTCTAAATATGACATCTTTGGGTTCATCCTCTCTATCTCTAAATTAGATGTTTTTTTGGTGTCTTTCCCTTGTTGGGTATGTACAATTATGGTTGTTTGGAGGTTCTCTCTCTCTTGTTGGGTGTGTAGTCAATTAGTTTATGGTCTCTCTCTTGCTGGACAAATGCTGTGACATAATTTTATTTTATTTATGGTTATTGTAGCACATCTCTCCAACCCCTCATTACTTAAATTTGATAGTGTTTCCATTTGTTTATCACTGGATCACCGAATTGAATCTTGACTCATTTGTGAAGGTTTAAGCAATTCCTCCTTCTTTCCCCTGGATCTGAAACTTCGCAACAACTGTGAGCACGCGTGAAGATATCTTTTTTCGGTTCTTGGGTTTATTTGGTATCAACTGAAGATGTCAATGCATCCTCAATTTTGAATTTTTGTTGGTTTTTTTTTTCAATCAAAATTTCATTTTTTGATGATGGTGTTAGTTGTTTTCTTTGTTTTTGCTAATCATGGATGACCTGATTCGTTCACGTACTTTGAAGTTGAATTTGCAGTATCCATCCAATTTTGATATACAATCCAATTTGGAGAGAGAGAGAATCACATCAATGGCGGGAACAGCTTCAGAAGAGCTGGCTAAGTTGAAGATCGATGAAGGATCATCAGATAACGGTTGGGCGCCACCCAATTTGCAGAAGAATCTTGCCCTTCTTTCTGGAGATCAGGTAATTGGGTCGTCGTAGCTTCAATTGCATGCCACTGGGAGTTTAAATTTTGCTTCTCTAGCATTTTCTCAGCGTAGAGAGATGATCCAATTGGGTTTTCTTTTAAATATTTGTGTGCTATCTTAATCTTAACGTGGTTATTTGAGGTTTTGATCCCAACACCAAACTATATGTCACTGTAAAAATGTAAATTCTTTAAGCAGGACTGCGTTCCGATTCTTAATTTGCAAGTAATCTTTTTGGGGAAAAATTTTCGTCTCATCATTTTTGTGACGATTGAAGATAGGGTCATTATTTTGAGATCTCAAATCACTTATACTGTGGCAGAGTACTCGTCAATGATTTTGGCTGTAAATCCTATAGGGTGTTTTTGCCAATATTGTGAATGGATTGAGGCTCTCGTATCTCACAGTCTTCTGTGGCCTTTCCCCTCCTTCATGAACTAAGTTCTTGCTCTTTTCATGAACATTTTGTTGATGGGTTTTATTCAAGCTGAGTAAGCAAGAATTCTACTTACTATAGAGATTGAGATAGCTAGCAGTCGGCTTTTCCCTTTTCTGGTACTTGGGTTTGAAGGTTTTCTGGATTCTTTCTTCTTAGTCATGGATTGGTACATTGTGCATATGATTTCGTACTGAGATGGGATCGGTTTGCTTTGACTTATTGCTATTGTGTTTCATGTAATATGGCATCTGAATGTTCTGTGCCACTAGTTGTTGTTTTATTTGTTTCAGTATTTGAAGCGTTTTTTAAATTATCTGCTGATGCGCTTGATTGTAAAATATTGGTGGTATCTCTAGTATAGATGGATGTCACCTTTGATTTTTATCACAATTGCATCAAATGCATTTTTATCATGGTTGCATATTACTTCATACAAAATGATTAAAGATTTCATAGGTAGAAATAAAATATAGAAAGAAAGTTCATCGGTAGAAAAATGTTTGTTGTTGAGAACCAATGCTTCAAATTGGCGGCAAAGGATGGGAATAAGAGTATTGTTCGTCATGTATTACACTGATACCGTTAAGAAGATCAAAATCATTTGCCTCGATAGTTTATGCTGTGTGCCATATGAGGTCCTTAATTTGAAAATTTGTTGCATTTTTATTTTTTGAAGAAAGTTATAATAAGAAAAGAAAAAAAAAAGAGCCTTTTCTTTTTTTTTGAGAAACAAAATTTGTTGCATTGTTACAATTGATAAGTAAACATTGTGAAGGGAATGATTGTCCTATGGCTGTCATAACTGAGTCATTTTCTTACATTGCCCATTCTTGCAACAAGTTTGATTCATCCAGGTAATGAGGTTAGTGCTCCCTGCGATTTCAGTCATCTCCTCAAAGTGGTTACTATATCATAAATGAATTAATTGGATTCCGAACACTAATTGCAACAAAATAGTTACATGCATACGGCCATTGTTGGATATTATATTAGTCATTTTTCTGCTTATTGTTCATTTATATATTTTATGAAGGAACATTTGTGAGCAGTGTGGCAAAACGTGACAAGTCCAACTCAGACTCACTCCGTTTAACCTGCAGAGTCTAGAACCAAACCCATGGTAACTGGTGGAGTCTGGCCAGTTCCCAATATTTATTATTATGTTTTGCTTGGACTCAACCGAGTCTGTCAGACTTGACTCGGGCTGGGGCCCCTAGCGAGTCCCGACCCAGGTCCTTCTTTTCTCATGCCGTTTGTGGGAAATTGCATGATATGGTGTATCGTTACTTTTATTGGCTGGGGGGGGGGGTGGGGTGTTCAGTTAGTGTTGTGCTAACATCAATGAATAACACTAATTACATGTGCAATCTTTTCTTTTGTATATTGGCTTTTGATCAGACCTTTTGCTTACCACCATCAAATCATGGTCTCAATTACTTGTTACATGTGGTGTGGTCATTTATGTAGAGTCTATAGATACGGGAGTCAGAAAACATGCATTTGGGTACCTGTCATCTTAACAATGAAGGTCATATTGTACTCCTGACAATGGTTTCATTGCATTTATCACTGACCGTTTCACCATTTGTGGTTATTTGGAGGCCTTGATAGCATGTACTGCCCTTAGATTGCATGCACCTAATGCTTTCTTGGAGAATTAATCTCATCCCTTTCCTTTCCCATGGCTTTTAATATTTGTATCTTGAGGAGGTGGATGTTAGCTTGCCAATGCATTAGTCACTGCATGTCTTCCCTGTGTACATGCTGCAAAAATGCTTTTGTAGTATTAATGATACCTAGAATGTTTTGTCTAAGATGACATCATATCTATGTAGTTACACCCAGTGAATCCCGTTCTATTAGCAAAAGTCTAGAAAATGACCCAACAAATATTCCAAAACTGTACATTGGTCCCCATGCATCCAATTCTGTGTCATTTGTTGTTCCAATCCAAGTACAGGGGTTTCTACCTGTTCTCATTTCTGAATTGACCTTGAATATAGAGTGGATTTGTCACTAGGGAGGATGTGTTCAGTTGGATACTAAGATTATTGAACAATCTTAGAATGATAAATCAAGTTATTGCATTTACTTTAAAAGCATTAAAGGTTCATGGAAGAGACTTATATATCAAAGTGTTTTATTGTTGTTTTTCTGGTTAGATGGTTGTAATTTTTGTCTCTCTTTACCGATACAGATTGAACTTGCAAAAATGTTGATGGGAGAGAACCAAGGTCACCTTTTTGCACATTGGCCAGAGCCAGGTGTTGATGATGAAGCTAAACAACTCTTTGTCAAGCAGGTCTGTTCGCAATGTGCCAATATTAAACATTAATTTATGCTCAAGGAAAATTAAGAGATTTAAGGGGCAGAATTGCCCTCTTAATATTTTAGTAATCCACTTCTTTTTTTTTCCTGCCACCTAAATTATGGGTGGAATACTGATTACTGAGATTTCCTGGGTTGGTCACCTATTGTGTTGAATTGATTATCAGAAACTTGAATGACCCAATCAGCCCCCAAGTTTAGGCATTTAGCCTTCTTAAACTTTCAAGGTTGATTTTTTGCAAGGCTTTATTTCTCTCTCTCTCTCTCTCTCTCTCTCTCTCTCTCTACTATATATATATATATATATATA